ATCAAAAACTAATGATGTATTGTATGGTGACTAACATAATATAATAAAATTAAAAACTACAAAAAAAAAAAGAAAGAGAAAAAAATTAATTTTATCATTGGTTCAGTAATATGGAATTATTTGATACTAAGTAAAGATAAAATACACAAGTTTGTAATTACAAATGTACTTAGTAAAGCAAAAACACAGCATTCTTAATTAGTAAAAGAAAAATCAATGGAACAATAAAAACAGAACTATTACCAAAAAAATAAAAAATAAAAATAAATAAAATGGAAATAAACACGTTTCCATAAGTTATTCAATGGGTAGCTCAACCCAGGTTGAAAGTTTGTCTCTTTTATCTGGCTCTTATCTGTAGTGTTATCTGTACTGTAGTGTTACTGAAAAGTTTTTGTAGGCAATTTAAAGAGGAATGAAGACAGGGATGGAAAAGCTATTTTTCTTTAACCTCTCTTGACAATGAGTTTAAGTTGCTAACTCCCACACATCTCCCCCCTCAGGTTCTGCCTAGAGGTTACGGCAACATGTCTGTTGCTTCCAATAATACCTTGTTCTCCCTGAACTCAGATTTACCCTGCCTCCACACCTGATTTCTGCTGGAGTTTTGTATTCTTGCACTCAAGGTTCTGCTGGCCGAAGATTCCGAACCACCAATGGTTAGGGTTCAGAGGAAGGAGGTGCTAGCCAAGAGATTATTTGGATGTTCTGATTTGGCTTCACTTTCAACACTTTAGAAAAGTCCTGAGCATGAGTCCGTTTGATTCTGGTACGTCCACTGGTTCCCCAAAATTTTAATTTCAATATAAAAATATTTGTTAAAACTCCATTTACTGTTGCTTTATAAACTGGTTCCATGGGGCTCAGCCAGGGCCTTTGGGGCCATTAGGTTGAAGCTAGGCCACGTGGGTAGGACTCAAGAAAACCTCACAAATGTCAGTTTGTAGGCTGATTTACTACATCCCAGGCAGGCAGGAAGTGGTTTCCCTCTAAAGCCATATTTTAAGAACTGGAGAGAACTATTAACTTTAGGGGAAAAAAGGAAACTGGGAAAAACTGGTGATTTTTCTGAAGCCACGGTTCTATCAGTGCCCTAAGTCACTAATTTGGCTTAGCCCAGATAAAACATCAAAAGGTGCAGTCTGATCCTTCTGTAAACTATTTGCTTTTGTTAATCCAAAATTATTCTAGAAGGTCCTATCAACCCCAACAGCCATACATCGGGGCACTCGGGGCACTCACAGGAGTTATTTTCAGTACGGAGTAACCGGATTTGCTCTGCACTTTCTGGTGATCCCCACCGCCCCCCCGCCCCCACCATGAGAAAGAGATACACACAGAACTTCTGTGGGCTGTTAACCACTGTTTACAATGTTTAGCTTTTATCTGACTTTCCCCGTAATTCTAAGCCGTAGAGGTTTTTAGAAATCTGTGCAGGAGTAGATATCACAAAAGTATTCCAAGAACAGAACCCAACACTCCCATACCTCTTACAATCAGGTCTGCAGCAGCAGAGAGCTTGTCTACACTTGTTTGGACCATGCAGATGTATTTCCCAGCATGCTTCAGCTGGATGTTTCGGATCATCAAATCACCAGCTGAATCCTGCTGATAAAGTAGGGGAAAGTGGTTACAATTACTTTTTAATGAGCTCTAAATATCATTATCACATGAAGGACACTGTGACTAATGGATTTATTTTACACTGGCTGATGAAAACATTAGTGATGCAAGCCATGGCCTATTAAAAATATGTGAACCTGCCTAGGAGATAAGAACACCAACACTTTCAGAACACACCTTGGACAAGACCTCGGGTGTCTGGCTTCTCTGGGTCTCCAGAGCAGGTTGCCACCCAGGTCAGAAGCACTTAAACTTACTTAAGGTGGTTCTTGATCTAGTCCTGGGGGTTTTTTCAGATATGCCCTCAACCTGCAGCCTTCACTGGCATTCCAGTACTTTGGAACTCCATATTTGGAAAGGGGAGGCAGGCCCACATTTGGAGGCATCTGCATTTTCCTGCGCAACTCTGTCTTACAGCCAGCATTTTGATTGCTCCCAGGTTTGAATTAATAGAGTATGAGGACCACACTCTCCAAGGAAATCTAGCATCACCTAGCGTGGAATGCTGCTAATTTGTTTTTGAAATGCCAAATGCAAGTCTGATTAGCAGATGCATGGGACTGATTACATCCCAGTATGGACTTCTATGTGCCCTAGAAATATTCCTACATGTTCACCAGCATGGTACTTTTAATAAATATGAGACGATGCCTCTACAGTTTATCACAACTAAAGAACATGGCTACACCTTGGAGTTTCATTGTTTCACAGCTCTGTTCATCAAAAGCTTGGAGAACAGGTGGCTTGCGTATGAGTGCTCCCTAGAGGTCAGATTCAGGAAGCTGTGCTTACTTCAAACCCCACAACAGATGACAAGATAACATAGGTTATGTTGGCCCTGTTGCTATTCTTCCAAATGACAATAATGTTGGATAATGCTTAACAGTATTTAAATATGGGAGCCATATATTAAAGCTAAATACTCACATGTTCTATAAGGTAGGTGCTCCTGTTATCCTTACTTTACAGGTGAAGAAACTCAAGCACAAAGAGGTTGTATGACTTGCCTAAAAATCACTTAGCTAATAAATGGCAGAGCCAGGATGTGAATCCACAAAGTCAGGCCATTCTACCTTCTGGAAAGACCTTATTCTCAATCTAATTTAATGTGTACTTAATTCCCTTTGTTTTAGAGCAATATATCACAAATCCATCCGGAACAATGGAAAACCTGGAACTGCCAATAGTTGTAAATAAGTTTAGAAGAGAGGCTCAAGCATTCAGTGAAGGGAGAGCTGATGTTTAGGTACTCAGTTGTCTTGGGCTGATCCCTGCTGTGAGATTTCATGTAAGTCTCTGGGTCTTAGTTAACTGACCTGTGAAAGAAGGATGCATTGTCCACTGCGTGAGGTTGTGAGAATCAAATGAGACTGTATGTGTACGTGAAATCCTGAAAACTGGGAAGCACAGAGTTAATTTAAATTGGTATTATTGATGACCACAAGTATCAGGTCAAAAATATTAAATCTAACTCAAGGAGAGCTGTGATTTTTATTTATTTATTTATTTTTACCAGGAAGCTGTTTTATTTATAACACTTGGGTTCTCATTCAGATTCTATTTACTAATCGAGTCTTATAATTGCTCAGTAAAATAGGATAATAATTGCTACCCTATTCTGCAGGCTTTCTGTGAGGATTAAAGAGCTGATAGACATGAAAGTGCTTGATAAATGATTAGGCGCTTTGCAAATATAAAGGATCATCACCATCATAATTAATACTTCTTTACCTAAGACATTCATGTGGTTAGGACTCTTGAGTATAGGTTTAAACAAAAAAATATGTCTCACAAGGAGGTATGTGCAGGGAAGGTGGAAAGCCGTATTTGTTTTAAAGAAATGGGTATACTATGTCGATTATCCATTTCATTCACCAAGGGATTAAAGTCAGAATAAACCAGTTGTAGCCTGGAAATTTCAGAGTACAACAATGTATTAACAGAATGTGCTGTCTTTATTTACAGATTTGGATCACAGTTGTGTTTTTAAAGTGAAACTGAAACAAAGAAAAAAATAAAGTCAGGATTGAAGTAAGAGTCTTACAGAAGGAGACCACAATCAACTTTCTTTTTTCCTTTGAAGTCATCCAGATGAAACAGTTTACTGAGATCTACATTCGTGTTCCTACCAAAGTGAACAAAACAGTACCAGCTTATTTTTTCTTGTTGTGGTCTGTTCTGTTCCTGACAGAGCACTTGGAGGCCATCAAAGGACAAGGGAATAATAGCTTTTCTGAAAATTGCAACAGGTTGGTTCTACCAAGCATCCCTTCCACCATGCTGACCCAGGAAGCAGAAACTGAAATGGCTTGCAGCATTGCTTCCTTCTCTCTTCTGCTGTCAAGTTCTACCGCCATAGACATTAAAGATCCTGGGGGCTAATACACCGATTTCTCACAATTTGTAGTGCTGTCCTGAATTTTGCACTTCTTAGCAATAACTGATGGGTATTAGCAAGAGTTTCACAGAAGAGACGAGCTTTTCCCATATGAGATGCTAATGGCTGTGATTCCACAGACAGAGCTCTCTACAAAAGGTGGTCATTAGTGCTTGACTCCATTAGGGGTGTCCCCACCTGTGCCTCAGCCAGTCCAGCATAAAATCCACATCTGTCTGACTGATAGGGCATCTATTTTGATCAGTCAGGCAACTGTTCTAATTGGTTGGTGACTGTGCCATTCTGCGAGATAATATTTTTAATATCTCTCCTGGCCAAGACATTGGTCTTAGCATGAAAACTAATATTCTGCTTAATCTATGAAGGTTTTCTCAATTTATACTTTCCTGTTATTAAAATCCATGTTATTCTTCCTTCAATTAGCACAACTATTAAAATTTATCAAGTACTACTTTTGTGGAAGGCATTAGGTTATGCACTTTTCTAGACCTGAAGGTATTTAATATCTTCAATGCCCTTGTGAAATTAATATCTCTCCCACTTGGTGATTAAGCTGAATCATATCAAAGAAGTCCAGAATGCTTAATATTGGCAATTTCATCCAGGCTTTCTCAACCAGGATTCCAAGAGTGAATCCCTCGTGACCCAAGGCATCCACTGATGTAATAAACTAACTTCTCTCCTATGTATCTAAAATATTACCAGTTATATATGATCTTTGGAAAAATTGAGAAAATGTTCAGATTATTCTTGGTGTTCCGTGAGAGACATCATTTGAGAAAGGCAGCAAGAATGTAATTAACAGAATAGTATTATAGTTGAGTGGAAAACAGGCCCTCAACATATCATACAGATAATTTTATAAGCTTTAGCCCACTTATTCTCAACATAAGGGGGAGGGGAGGCAAAATGAAGAGGGCAAATTAGATTCCTATGGCAGAGGAATGGGGAGGGCTTTTTTCAAGTCATAGCCTCATTTTTATTTTCTTCTGTCTTTGGTTGGACCCTTCCATGAGGATGGCAGCCAGAGTGAATCTTTATTACTAATGGGAATGTACGGCAGTATTAGGGTAAAAAAATTTTTTTTGAGAACAATTGTGATAGATACAGATTGTTTCCAGATTTAACCTCATCTTGGTGTGTATTCAATGGTAATATGTATTTTTATGGAAAGGAAGGCATTATGAAAATTCAAACATTTGAATTCAAAATTACCTGGAGATAATAAATACCCTGATCAGACTTTCAGATTCAAGAAAGAGAGCCCTAATGTCACAATGAGACTTCTATAAGAGCCAAGCAGAGTTTAATCAGCAGCCTAAAACCACATGAGTAAACTGTCCTTAAGATATTTTCTTAATCATGTGCTATGATATATGGTATTGCGTGGAGCACAGAGCCAGGGATTTGAAGGTTTTTTTTTTTTTTTTAAAAGATTTTATTTATTTATTTGACAGACAGAGACACAGTGAGAAAGGGAACACAAGCAGGCCTCCCGCTGAGCCGGGAGCCCAATGTGGGACTCGATGCGGGGCTCGATCCCAGGGTCCTGGGATCATGTCCTGGGCCCAAGGCAGATGCTTAACGACTGAGCCACCTAGGCGCCCCCAGGGATTTGAAGTTTAAAGCTGAGTTCCACAGTTTAGGGCTTTGAGGCCAAGGTAGACCATACATTTCCCCCCGAGCTCTAGTTTCCTGATTCATACATAGTTCGGAATAACTAGCCTATAGCATTGTTGTGGGGATGCAGAGGACTGTCATCTAGGGTTACTCAGTAAGTGGGGCCGCACTGATCAGGCAAAAAGGAGCAGGAATTAACCAAGAATTTCTTAAAATCAGGTGTTGGAACAAGATCAAGAATAACCTTATATTTCTTTTCAAGTTAGTCTAAACAAGTTGAGTCACTTTGCAGAAGTTCAGTGCATACTCAATTTCCTATAGACAGTTTGATATTAATACTTACCCCTCCAACTCTTTCAAAGTGGTCCCCATCTTTGTCAAAATCTATCAGGTGTCCATTAAATGACCAAGTAAACACGATGTCTAGCGAGTGATCATGTGTTACCTGGCAAGGCAGAACAATACTTTCTCCAACAGTGACATCCATGCTGGAAGGGGGTACCATCACCCTTGTTGGATCTGTGGGTGAAAACAAAGGCAAATCATTAACAAAGCCTGTGAGCTTGTGTGGAAGTAAAATGTAGAATCCAAGAGCAGGATGAAATACTAAGTAGTTTTGCTTTATTTTTTCTTAGGCTGTGACCAGTAAACCTCAGTCATCTGGGAAGCTGAGCTTCAGGCCAGGAGGTCATTTTTAATATGAAAAGATGAAAACACTCATTATGTGAATCTTCACAGATCAACAAAACTCAGCTGGGGAGCACTGAGGTTAGATCTCTGAAGACACTAATGGAAGGGCCTACTTCTGACAGCCTGCTTGGAAACTGCCTCTTTAAAAAGGTTTTCATATCTCCCCAGTGTCACTAGAAAGCAGTAATTCAGCTGAATACTAACAGGAGAAATCCATGTTAATTTGAAGTTTGTTTGGCTCCCCCCTACCTTATTATAAAAGTGATAAATGTTTAGTATGGGAAATTTAGGAAATTTAAGAAAGTTAAAAGAAGAGACCAAAAAACAAACAAAACAAATCCTACTTACTCTCCTTACTGTCCAGATAAAACGTCTTTTTTCATTTTGATGTAATTTCCCTCTGTCTTTTTGGTTTATAGTTTTTCAAGTTGTTTTGTTTTGCATTCTTATAACATGATACACATATGATTTTCCTTTTTTCTCTAGTTAATATAATACAGGTTTATATCTTTATCTACATATTTTTATAATCTGCATAATGTACTATTAAGTTTATAGTCTCAACCATTTTGAAACTAAGACATTTTAGCAAATTTTTATAAATATAATATAAAAATGCTGTAATGAACTCATTGACAAAATTATATATATTTGCATATTACATCTTTAAAATAAGTACTAATTCGCTTTTAAATTCACCCTTTACATTATGATTTTAATTGAAAAGGAAATGGGCTTGTTTAGCTGAGACAGTTTATAAACCCTAATCCTACATTGACGTGCCGGTGATCTTTTATTTTTCACTGCAATATGATTTCATAAAATGTTGTCAGAATACAACGGTGAAAAGAAATTTGAGTTAAATATAAAGGTCATATAAATACCTAAAGAATGAAATTCCGAATTCAGCCATATTCCAGAAATTTCTCTGCACTAAACCAAATCAAACTAAACCAACTAAACAAACCATAACAAAGAAGACAAATCAAAAGCAAACAAAACAATGAAAGAACATTGATTAATACCCTTCTATACTCACAGGATTATATTTCAGGCTGTGGGGTATATAAATATTTATTAAGTGTATCTCCTCGATTAAAATCTCATTTGGAAATTTTGAAATGATGTCTCATAGGACATGTTTGATGGGTCTTACTTTCCAGCAATGCATACAAAAACCTCCTCTTTAAAGAGAGTATTTAAAAGAGTTTTTCTGCCCTTTTAACCAACTATGGAAAGCACACATTTCAAGTCATTAGAAAAGGAAAGTCTGTGTCCATAAACAGATTATCAGCTTGGAGTGAAATATACTTTTGCTGTTTTCCAAAACTAGGAAAAGATCATAAATGGACTGCTTGTGCTTTCAGTCATTGCCGTATGAGTGAAGTTCATGAAAAGAGAAGGTAAAAACAGGTATTCTCAGCTAAGAGATGATGGGAGGGAAAATCCTTTATTTTAAAACCTGAGGCTTTTACAAGTCACATAATCAAAATTTGCTCTAGTGATTAACTGATCTGCAGGTATAGATACAGATTGAGATTTTTTTTTTTTAAATGAGGGAAGGAATTGAGAACAAAGCACTTTAGAATAATTTTTGCTTTTAAAATTTAAATTTTCCTCATCTATAGAATGAAGACTGGAACGAATAATTCCTGGCCAAAATCATATGTGTGTATGGTTTTTATTCAGTGAGATGTTGCCTAATTCTCCTTTAACTACCTGTGTACTGATTTCACAATTTAGATTCTTATCTTAAAGAACATTCATTTGTTGATTTATCCACCAAGCGTGTAGTGTGTGTTGCATGGATGACAGTGCCTTGGTAGCCAAAGAGATATAAAAGAGAATGAGGGAATGAAAACATTCATAATAACTAGCTGAGCCCCTTACATTCCAGACACTGTGTTAAAACTTTACATTTATTCTTAACAAATAGGTATTATTATCATCTCTACCTAATGGATGAGGGAAACTGATGCCTAAGAGTGTTTAAAAGGAACTATCTGCTGTGCTGAGCTGCATCCTTTCGTTTAGCTGAAAACATGATATCCATTCACAAATCATCCAGAGACCAAGTCTAAGGGCATAATATAGCAATTTGTACTCTTGCTTATGTACAGTCCACTTAAGATATTTAAATGCAGAAGAAATTCAGAGAAGGCCGTGGGGTGAAGACAGTTTCAGAGGGTTTCACTACAAGAGTAATGAAGTTACTGCCTTAAAAAGGTAAAAAGTAGCGATGACTTCATGCATAAAATGCTGGCTCTAGCTCTAAGCCTACACATCAAACTCCTGAGAGCAGAGTCAAATGTCCAGGCTCAAGTCCTTAAAAATGTCTTGGCTTCCTATCTCCTGACAACTTTTGGGTGAGCAACAAGGAGTTGGCACATATTCCAAAGCCTGGAGTCATTTGCAATTCTGGCTCACATTTTTAATTGACATTTGTTTCTTGAAGAAATGTTCATTCCTTTATGCACATGTAGGGAGTGGGGACAGATCTTATTATTAGTGAACTCAGTTGCCTGTTAAATAAGAACTGGAGAGCTCCCTAAATCAAGGATTATGCTGGTCCCGTCTGTGCTGACAGCTGCTAATTCATGAACTTAGCACTTATCACCGATTCCTGTTCTGAGCCCCGAGGGAGCAAGAATCAAGGCAAGGCAAGTCATGCAGGATACACACACCAGAGAGGTCTCCTTGGGACTAGAGAAGATTAAACTAAAGAGGTTGAAACCTCATTATCTACTTGGTTTTCTCAAATTGCATGCCTGTTCAGTACTCCTGTTTTCTGTGTTGTGAATTCTGATGCTTTTTACTTGATTAATTTCCTTAAATTTGAATACAAACGCTGTACACAAATAAAAAGATGGCTTCTTCAAAACAAAACTGTCTCCCCTCCTTGGGTTTTAATTCATCAAGATCAGGAAGAACCTATATTTACGACTTCTGTTCTGAAGAGTCACTCCAGCTATTGTTCTGTGCATAGAACTCTCAAAGGCAATTAGGACTCAAGATGTGAATTGATGTCTGGATTTGGATGTAATTAAATACCAACAATAAATATGACCAACGACATCCCTAAACTTTTCTGCTTGTGGTTGGTTCATCCTGCAGAGAATGATAAAATCAGAACTCCAGAGGACTGATGTTTAAAATGTATATATTTACCAAGTGTTTAACCCTCCTAGAATAAAATAAAAAAAAAATACTCATGTTCTACATTGTTTCCTATAATAGAGAGAGGACAGAAAGTACACCAAGTGCTTTGTTCTCGAGAGCAGGACAACCATGAGAGAGAGAGAGAGAAAATTATTAACAACTCTGTTAACGATTAGGTCAACAATTTGATGCATAAATTACAATACTTATTATCCAAGTTATATTATCTTCTGACTTTCCCTATTGGTGGAAAAGCTTTCTGATCTAGGGCTTTTATTATCTATAAAAACAAGTACCTGTAGGTTCACAGGACAAGAATTCTATTTTGATTTTGCTTTCCCTATACAATACCAACCCTTCCTTTTAGTTGGTAAATACTTTCACTCACAGTGCCAAGGTATTCACTCGGTAACTATCAGGAAAGTACTTAATGTGTGTCTCATTGCTCTTCGTTTACAGAAAGTATGCATCTCCTTTTGTTAGTGACTTTCTTTACTGTAATGGTTTTGATGATGCCTTTGAGTCAGGTTGTGTCTTCTTTTTTATATTAATTTTTATAGATGGAACTTTAAAAATGGGATTCTTCAAAAACAGGAGCTAGTCAAAGAGCTGACAGCTCACCTGAAATGGCACAAGGGGGAGTGGCCAGAGAACTATTTTTAATAGTAGTTAAATGCCACAACAAAGATGGTGGGTTAATTTTCACAAAAAACCTGGAAGTAGCATCCTAGGGATGAATTTCCACTCTCTGCATTGGTCCCATTTTTTGAATAAAAATAAAACCTGTGTTGGATGAACTATATCTACCATTTCTGCATAAAACACACATAAAAGGAATACCCTAAATATGAGATGAAATTCAACTTCCACAGTGATTTCAAGCTGGACCAATTCTTTCATTTAGTATGAAATGTAATAGGGATAAAGGTAAAAGACTACACTTAAAAAAAAAACAGCTACGAAGGTACAGGCTAGAAGAAGACTGTATTGGCAGCTCATGTGGAAAAGACTTGAACATCTCAGTGTCAACAGGGTTTGTGAAGTTGCCCCAAAAGCTAATGCAATCTTAAGTTGCACAGATAGCGTGTGGTATTTCGTCTTAGGTAAAAATCCCATTGTATTTTGCATTAATGAGACCACAGCTTGGCTAGGAACATCTTTTGGATTCACTGGCAAATTAGTGCACCTAGGTTAGTGAAGCACATAACAAATCTGTAATGGCTAAAATAACTGAAAATGTTTGACATAAGAAAGAGAAATTATAGGAGACACAAGAGTGGTCTTCAAATATGTGAAGGGTTTATAGGCAGAAGATTAATTAAACTTACTTCGTGTCACCCAAAGTACAAGGTACAAAGAAGTGTATTTTGGCTCTGTATAAGAGAGAACTTTCCAATAATTTGACCTTTTCAACAGGGAAATGCGCTGCCTCAGGAGAATGTGAATCACCTATTCAAAAAGTATTCAAGCAGAGGTGGGCACCATCAGAGAAGGTAAGTCAGGTTACACTGAAGGCCAGCCAGGCTGGATAAAGCCTATTATCCCTCTGAAGACTGATGCTTCCCTGACCACCCTCCTCACTGGTAATCTTTTCCTTTAGTGAAGCTTGTTCTCTTTCTTCAACATTAAGCCTGAGCATTGTCACGGACTATCATTTACATATATCCAGT